ATGTTCGATTGAATTTGTCGAATTTTCATTTCATATTTTAGTTGTGAGCTTTGATCGCATTTTGAAGAGCGACGCCTTACATTAATAACAAAATAAAAATTAATTGCTATTAACTGCTATTGGAGAAATCATTTAACAATCATCTAATGCTAGACGTTTTGAATAGGTTGAGTTAAATATTAATATTTCAACTCTTTGCACCCTGTTGAAACTAAAGAGAATAATTATAAATTAATTTTTTTTTTTTTAATTATAAGTAGATTTTTGCTCGCATCCGACACGTTTATGTCGAGTATGAGGAAAAGAACGATCAAGAAATCGAAACCATTTCTCAAACAATCGAACAATGTTCGCAACCATGAAAATGGAGAGGATGTTCGATCGAATTGGAATGAAAACAAAAATTGTATTTCGAAAGAATTTTTTTACAAGCGATTAAAACACTGCATTTTGTTTTCATTATTCTATTCCAACAAAAACCGAAATGTGTGTACTAGTAATATAAAATGAGAAAATATATGTTTTTTTTTTCGTTTGTTGTATGGAATCCGACCACTGTGCGTCGGCAAGAACGAAAACGAATGTTTCTAACGAATTCTTTTAACGAATGTTTCTGACGAATTTTCCGAAATTGTCCCCGTACAGACGATCCCAATATAACTTCGATTTGACTGTTACAGCAACTGATAATTAGATTTATATATTTCGCTCTCAAAGAAAAGCTTTGTATCTTGAATTTTGTAAGACGCCTTCGAATGGTTAAGGAAACTCCTTTCGTTTTAATTGACCGTACCAGAGAAATTATATTTACCGTTTTCTCCGTTGATGGGAACGATTCGATAAATGCTCCGATAATTCAATCCTTCGTTGATCGTAATCTGATAACTGCAATGTCGATATTTATTGCATTTGTAGTCTCCCAAGCTATATAATTTAATGAGTGGAACGGGAGCTAATAGATTCTAAGAATTACCAATCGTTGCATTCATAGTTTACAAAAATGTTCCAATCTCGGATGATTTCTCAAAGTTATTTCGCTTTGATTTTAAACACTTCGATCTACTTTGTCCACTCTGCTTGTTATCATCTGTTTTAATAATAATAATAATAATAATAATAATAACTTCTCTCAAAAACTGTTGAAACTCTTCTAAATCGTTGTTAAACGAAGCAGTGTTACTTTCGAATGTTTCATGTCAACTGTCAACTAAAACAGCTGTTTTTAGAAACTAAAGCTAAGGTTAAGTAAATTAACCCTTTGCACTCCGCTGTCCCCTCTCGTGGGACATCGTAATTCTAGCGTATCACTCGGATGTCCCCTCTCGTGGGACATTCAAGTTTATTAGTGATTACGGGGAATTGAGTTATTTCAGCGCAACTTTTTCGGACACGCACGTTTCCCTGAAGTTTTCTCTTGAAATGGCACAAGAAATCAAATCAAAATATGGTAAAATTACTAAGATATATACAAGAAATGTCAGCGGGTTTTGACGAGAACGTGAGAGGCGTGCTCGCGACGGTCCGAGCACTTCAAAGGCGCCATGTGAAAAGAGCGATAAGGCAAGTTCGTAGAAGAAAGGTCGGTATGCGAACATAGCACGCACTGTATAGTGAGATTTATAATCGTAAAATCTGGAGGAAAAGATTTTCAAAGCTGAACTCGGTCTGGTTCGAAGCGTCGAGCGGTATAGATAGATCTAACGAGTGAGAAAATCGGAAAAGTGATTCTTCTCTTGGTAAATAAACTGTTTGGTAAAAGTTTTTTTTGGTAAATATCATCTTGCGAGTTAGTAATAACAATTAGAAATTTTCAACCTATGTATTTATTCATATTTTTTATTAGAACAATGGCAAAACGTTCAAACACGAATGAGTCTCATGACACAAGTAGTAGCGAAGATGAGCTCCAGATAGACGTTTATACAGATATGTTAGAAAGACTAACTGTAGAAGGTTTTCTTCTACAGTTAGTCTATCGTTTTGATAGCAGTGATAGTGATATCGTCCAAGCAACAAGGCGACGAGAGAAAGAGTTCGCATAGATAGCGATTACAACAACGAAACAAAATTATAAAACAAACGATAACAAAATTATAAAAAATAAAATATTGATTTTTTTGCAAATTTCTCGATTTCAGCCAAATTCATATAAGTCCAATATCATTATAATATGTTAGTTAGTTCCAAAAGCATACTGTATAATACGAGGGTCTGCAAATGCCCGTTTCTGCCGAAAAGTGGCGCCGAGTAGCTGGTAGCCAACGTCCAGAATGGTTCGGAGTGCTAAGGATTAAAGGTTTCGTCTGCGCATTTTTCTCGAAAGAGGAACCAAAGCTTCGAAACTTCTTAAAACAATATTCCAAACACAACGCAATTTTTCTGTTATCCATCAACGATCAAGCGAGTTTTACGAGCGGCCATCTGATCAGTGCCGGATTATATCACTGGCACGAGCGAAACGAAGAGCCGAACGAATCCGATGATCCAAGAACACGTCCGGAACAATAAACGGAGCCTGGACAATTAAGGAAACGGCATTAGATCGCCGGGAAACGAACGGAGAGAGTCGTGCGATCGAGCCCCGGCGGCCTGTCAACAATGGGGAAAGCACTCCACCAAGAGAGAGAGAGAGAGAGAAAGAAACGAACGAACGAACGGAACAAAAGAGTCCTGAACGTTGATGGGTGCGCAAACAATGGATATCGGGTTTAGAACACGTTAGCCGGCAATTGGTCTGGCCTGCCCCGTTGGAGAAATAGAACTGACGGAGGCGTTGGCAGCGTGGTTAAACAAAAGATCATTCAGCGAGTCGCATAAATATTTCCGGGACTCATTGTCCTTCCGGTTGTTGCTCGTTCGTTTCCCATAATTCCTTCGCGGCACCCGATGTTTACGAGGCTGATTTTTCTGTCGAAATGTTCCTCGTTCCTTCCGGATCAAAATTTTCGATTTCGAAGCGGGTGCACGTTAATTAAGAGCATTAAAATCGACGCGGTCTTTACACGATGGTGTTCGCGATTTTATTATACTGACAGGTATTCGAGCAATTGCACCTACAATTTCCATTTAGCGCCGCTGTTGTATTATTTTCCCGTTTGAAACAATTTTCACAATTACAGTCAACATGTCACTTCACTATTAATTTATGAAAAGGGAAAGAAATTTTCACGTTTCTCGTGCATTCACTTTAAAGATTGCATATTTATAACAACAAAACGATCTTCATCTCTGATGAAATCGTCACAATGAATGACGATCCTATTCATCAAGCTTAATCTTCTCGTTCGAAATTCTGCTTAAAAATTTCGCTCGACGACGTAAAGTTCGTTCGAACGAATTTCTATGTACGCACAAGTCTCGCCGAAGATGAATCGAGGATCATGGTTCGACGTACTTTTTTCTATATTCGCACAGAATCTGAAACAGAATTAGAATCGCGAGAGATACGAATTCCAAGCCCACCGAGAGTTTGCTGGCTCGCCTATATTCCAGCCGTCGTCCGGCTGTCCCGGCGAGATTATTTTAATCCCACGATTATCCACCTCTTTATCAAGTGCCCGAGACTTTATCCAGTAGGCTTATCCCTGCTGAAGGAGCTGGATAAATGGCTGCCGAGGCCTTGAACGAAAATGACGAAGTGCCCGTGACCGCCGGACAAAGAGTTACGCCCGACGCGAACCGATCGCTCCTTCATAATGACTGATTCCGTGGCCCTGCGTCGACCCATTCAAATATCACCTTTCTCATTTCCGGCGTGCCACCCCCGAAAATTCTTATTCGGAAATTACACCCTCGATTTTCCTTATTTCCTTGGGAACTGGCGATTTATCGCAAACGCTATAATAGTGGATTCAGTTTATAATACTGCAATGATTAAAAATAATGATTAAACTTAACGATTAAACTTAATAATTGAACTAAATGATTAAACTTAATAATTGAACTGAATGATTAAACTTGATGATTAAACTAGATAATTAAATTACATGCTTAAACCTAATTATTAAGCTTAATAATTGAACTAAATGATTAAACTTAATGATTAAACTAAATAATTAAACTAAATGATTAAACCTAATAATTAAACTTAATGATTGAAAAATGTGGATATTACGAAATGATAAGTACAAATGAGGTTATTTCAGTTTTCGAGGAAGATATCTGATCTTTTTTGCTATTCGATGAACAATGTTTGAAACATAGTGAAATTACGTCAGATTTTACTCGAGTCGAGAACTGTAACTTTCGATTTTGTTGTTTGTTACAAAAATGCTGATACGAAAGTCAAGGATACGAAAATGATCACTGGACTGCGGATCTTTATGCAAAATAAAAATGATCTTCGCCGATAGCAACATACATATATAAGTCAAATGAAAGTTTCTTTCTTCCTTCAACAACTAATAATTGACTAGCTTCTAAAATTCATTTTTATCACGATGTACTCGACCAAATTGAATTCTACTAGGATGTTTAGAACGCGAAAGAATACAAAATAATACACAGATGTGCTTAAATTCTTTTAGTAGATTCTTTCGTTTAAATTTCGGCTAAACGTTTTTATTATAAATGCATAAAATCCACAGTCAGCACGAAGCTTATATCAGGGAGCATATACCAACGTTCTTGTAAAGTTTTTGGACAACATGGAATTTTTCATATAAAAATATATAAGATTTTCATATAATAATAATAATTTAAAAATAATTTAATTAAAAATAATAATAATTTAATTTAAAAATATAATAATTTTTCATATAAAAATATATAAGAAAATATATAAAAATTATATAAAAATATACAAGAATTGTCAGAGTAGGTTCCGAGGATCTCGAACCACAATTTCAAGGTTTTCTAATTTTCCAAATTAATTAATTTGTAGGAGCGACTGCTGGCAATCGAATCAGCGTGTGCCAGGAGGAATCGAACGTATCCCCAGGAGCACGACATCGGTTCCTCCCGATCGAAGTGGACGAGATCGAGAATGTTGTTCCACTTACCAGGTTCGTCTGCTCTCTTGTTAACTTCCTCAACTTCCTGGTGTCCCACGCACTCGTCCGGATTCAGGCTCTCCGGGAACATATCGCATTCCAGATACTCCGGCAGAGTCAGGCCGAACACGTCCAAGAAAAAGCCGCAGCGTCTCTTGGTTTCTGAAGGAAATTTCAATGTTCAACATTGTCAAAGTTCAACGTGTCTAAAATTAGTCTCCTGTCGATTAACACTAAACCTACCAAGCAGTAATACTAATTGGCATGTACTGCTTCGCAAAAGTGAGAAGACCGAATTTCTTTAGAATTTGTCAAGTTTTTATTATAAAACTTGCTCCAATAATATAACTTATTCCAGCGTTTTCCACGAAAGAGTCTCGGTACTTTGCAGAATTGCAAAATAAGAAAGCGATCATTTTGACCGCGGTAGGTTTAGTGTTAATGCCCCGGCAACGAAAAAAGACCGAGACGAGATTTCTCGTTTTTATCGCTTTTCTCTGAAAATTATCTGTTCCAACAGTAATTGTTATGTATTAGAAAATATTCGAACGAATTCGCACGTTTGACACTGTTTGGTATTCCTATAATAATTTCAATTTAAAGAAGATCAAATTCCCTTGAATAATGTCAAGAAAGGAAACTAATTTGCGTAATGGGATGAGTTTACTGGAGCGTTACGCAGACGATTCGTCCGATATATACGGCGATAACAGCTGTAATTCTATTACCGATTCTGAAGATGGCGTGTACGATGGTGATTATTTAGACAATTTTGGAGGGCGTGTCCGAAATAGTGATAGCGATGACGAGAATAATCTCGCAATTAATATATATAATATAATATATATATAAATATATATAATATATATAATAATCTCGCACAATAATGTGCGCAAACATAAAACTATGCAACTGAATATAATTTCAAGCGAGTCCGAACAATCGGAAAATAAAGATGTTTGCATGAAGGACAGAACCATAAATCTAGGAGCTTTCGAGGACAATTCTGGAGTAAAAATTTAACCGGAAAATGTTCAAAAATAATTTTGGATTAGATTTTGAAGATCATTTTTATTGTAATATATTGAGTAAACTGAATGTTCAGAAGACTTTTTAAATAATACAAACGAGTTTAATTAACATTGACTTTGAGTTTAGTTTTAGTTTTATCGATTTGGTGACTTCGATATTGTGGAATTTTTGGAGTTGATACTCGGCACTCAACATAAATTTTGGTCGAGTAAGCATTACTCACCGAAGCACAGACTGCGACACGGTCTCACAAGCTGTCCTCGGGATCCGCATTTTGGCACGAAAACGCTGCACAAGAAGAGGGCTGCCAATTCATAGCATTTCACGTCTATCACGGAATCGTAGAGCTCCAGCTCGTGTTGCGCGTCCCTCTGCCCGCAGTCCCCCATGTAGTTCGGGAAGACGGTGTAATTGTACGGGATCTGGAGGAACCGACAACGGACGGCACACGTGAACGCGTCGGTCATTTAATTAGGGGCCTGAATAATTAGCGGTCGCCGGTGTTTCGCGGATCGTAAGCTGGCATATATCAAAAATATCGAAGAACGCTTAACCCTTAGCACTCCGAACCATTCTGGACGTTGGCTACCAGCTACTCGGCGCCACTTTTCAGGAGACTCTCGTATTATTTAGTATGCTTTTGGAACTAACTAACATATTATAACGATATTGGACTTATATGAATTTGGCTGAAACCGAGAAATTTGCAAAAAGATCAATATTTTATTTTTTATAAAATTTTATACTGAAAATTTTAGAAACAAAAATTACAAAATTACGTCACAGTTTCTCTACTTTTCCTTGACTCGCAATCTCTTTAAAACGACATCTTTTTGTTGAGATCGCTTGAAACGATAGACTTAGAATAAAGGAAACACGATAAAGAATAGAAGCCGGTGCACTTTCCATTGAAACTTCGATAAAACAGAGAGAAACGATCCTACGCCGAATTTTGAAACGTCGTTACAAAGGGCAGACTTCGATGTTCAAAATCATAGAGAATCGAGTCACGGGAAAAATGTGTCTGGGTTCGCGCTGCTATTTGAATCTGCAATATATCCGAACAGAAAAGTATCTCCTTTTGCTCCACCGCTGCAGGATTTAACAAATCTTTTCAGGAAAGAATGAACTAACGGCGATGAAAGCTGACACTTCACGCTTTAAAGTGAGCCTAAGCAGACCGTTGCACGTTTATTTTTCGTAAAGTTATGGTCATTCGAACGTAGACGATTTCCCATCGTAAAAATCGATCCCCTATTTATGGACGATCGAGTCGCCAAGAAATAGAACGATAAATTCGAGGAATTATTTGAAGGATCCTCGTAGAGGTTGCAAGTGGACGACCACAGTGGTCTTAGCATACAATTTTATCGTATTAAACGCACGGAGTGACGGGCCCGTTGCGTTCCCGGCCCGGAATGCAACGATCCGAGTCAGAAGCATCGACAACCGCGTCGGGCGCTGTTTTAACCCGATTCGATGAATCCCGAGAATCTCATGGACGAATTCCTCGCAAGTTTATTGGGAATCGCTCCGAAGAAGCGCGGATAGAAACGCGGGGGAGGAGTTTACCTTGTGGTACTTGCAGAAGGTTACTATTATAGGCAGGCAGACACCGGGCGCTGGGTTCTTCTCCTCGATCATCCGTGGCGCACGTTCAGTCATCGTGATCATGTTCGTATAGGTCGTCTTGTTCTCCAATCGTATCGCAGTCTCAGGGTTCGCTATTTTACATTTTTTTTCAGACAATGCTCCATTAAACGACTCGCTAAAACGCGTAAGGTATTTTGAACATTCATTATGGACTTATCGGCGAAACAATTAATTCAAGAATTAAGACGCGTTGAACATCGTTCAACACTAAACATGCGTTATAAGATTTACAGGATTGAATTTATTTAAACTTCTCGCTGTTTTCATTAGAATGCGTGCTCGAATAAAAAAAATTGCGAAAAATATTTTATCATTTCGACGATTTTGAGATACGAAATGAGAAACCGATCGTTTCGACCTCGGCACGTTAGGTTTATTGTTAAACGTACTACTCTTTACGGAATGAGAAGAACACTCTAAACTACATAATTACGTTGAACACGAGATACGCGCGCCAATCTAATGCAACGAATACAGGTGAAATTAACGTCTAAATTAATTATTATGATCGAGAACGTATGGCGATATTCGCGTTACAGTTAGTCTAATATGTTTTTAAAGAATGCGTGAAAATTACTTGATACAGAGCTAATCTAATCTCTTTATCCGTTAATAATAGCGAGTATACAATGCTCGTAATGCGTATTCGATCATTTATTCGCTGCACAAAATAAATGGCAAGATATTGAAACTTAATTCTTGAATAAATGTTAGCAGATTTACGCAATGAAAATTGCAACGCGTTCTATCACACCCTCAGATCGTGTACTCCGTTTAATTAATGTATAGAAATATGAGTTTGCAAGAGATTCACGAGGAAAATTTGTTAACGCTGCACGTCGAGTGCTGGTCCGAAAGATAAATCAGAAGGAAAGACGCGTTGCCAAGTTCCCGCAGCGTTGGCAGTGGTTCGGTCGCGATCCGTTTCCGAGTTATTCGTAATTAAATCCCTCGAGTCGCTTAGATAACACTAGATAACGCAATCAATTAGATAACGTTCCCGTTCGAAAGGAGTCCGACCGACTGCGAAGGATTGAGACGCGCGAAACTTCCACCTGCGCTTGAGGGACCGTCGGAAACGTGTTTTCGAAAGCCACGTGCCAGTCGCAGGTGCGATTCCTCGGATACACTCGGCCAATTATTCAACGTTCTCAGTGCCATGGTTACGATTAAGGTTTCCCCGAATGCGTACGCGTCGATTAGCTACGATTTTTCATAACCACGATCATTCGTTTTCCAATATCGAATTCTTAATTAACCTCTTAGGCACGACGCGCCACTATAGTGGCTTGCTCTTTTGTCTTTACATCGATTTACAACAGTCTACAGGGTGTCCCAAAAATGTCTCGCAATCCGGAAACGGCGGGTTCCTCGGATCATTCGAAGCAACTTCTTCCTTTACAAAAATGTTCTCCGAGGCACCGTTATCGAGTTATTAACGAAAAACAGCGACCAATAAGAATCGAGTACGGCTGACGCGAGGCGGCCCAGCCAACCAGCGCGCGAAGCCCAGTTCCGCTCATCGGCTCGATCGCCTCGCGCCAGCCGAGCTCGCCTCTCATTGGTCACTGCTTTTCGTTAATAACTCGTTAACGGTGCCTCGGAGAAAGTTTTTGTAAAGGAAAAAGTTGCTTCAAATGACCCGAGGAACCCGCCACTTTCGGATTGCGAGACATTTTTGGGACACTCTATATATACAGTATCAGACTCTGTACAGTACACATCAGACTCTGCCGACCAGAGAAGTAGTCGTACCTAAAAGGTTAACACTAAACCTACCAAGCAGTAATACTAACTGGCATGTACTGCTTCGCAAAAGTGAGAAGACCGAATTAATTTAGAATTTGTCAGGTTTTTATTATAAAACTTGCTCCAATAATATAACTTATTCGAGCGTTTTCCACGAAAGAGCCTCGGAACTTTGCAGAATTGCAAAATAAGAAAGCGGTCGCTTTGACCGCGGTAGGTTTGGTGTTAAACGGTGAACTGAATCAATCGTTAGGACATTCGTTTTAATGTATCTTAATCGATTTTCTATTGGTTTTATGTTTACGATGGTTTGAAGATTCATTACGGAAGATCAACTGTAATGCAACTACTTAATAGTGAATCTATCAAGTTATAAATGTTTGCTGATTTAGTGTATTGAATTATAAGGACGGCGAGATTGGATTTATTTGGATTTAGTTTGTCCATGTTTATTGTAAAAGGATCGCGGGTTTTTATGCAAAATAAAAATTATCTGTACCGATTGCAAGATGCAGGAGCAACATATACATTCATTTGTTTTCCTAATAATTTCAACAAGTTGAAAGCGATACAACAGTGTTTTCAAATTCTTTAAATGTTTCCACTTTTTCATGTACACATTTTCATTATAAAATGCATAACATCCGCGGTCCAATTATATAACGCATGCGATGGTATAATCATAATTTCAATATTTTCCAAATTAAAAACGTTCATTGAAACCGTGATTTCAAATGAAACCGACCATTTCGACCAGCACGATACTGCTAATTACCAGACATTATCGTACACGCGTACATGTAACAATCCTATATTTGTTAAAAAAAAAAACAAACAATCCGGTTTGAAGCATCGAATAAATATCAGAAATTAAACAGCGAGACTTCGTACCCCTTAAAGGAACCCAAGCCAATAAACAAAATAATGCGATGGCCTGTTCAAAGAGGGGCGCGTAATCTCCTTAGCGAGGCCGGTCGAACGGAAAAGCGAACCGGGTAAAAATTTTCGGATTCGTCACGCCATTAGCAGAATAATTGGACGTCAAAGGTCGGTTTCGAGTCGAGAGTATCGCGCTGCACGCGAGGCAGCGAGGGCGAAGCGGAAAATTTCTCGCCGCCAATCTGCCCGGGTCGTGACTGCGGCCCCATTAACCGGACTATAAATTACCGTGCAACTATGTGACACGGGCACACGCGTCGCGGTCCGAGAATTAGTCCGCGGATTATCTACACACTCTGTAGGCGAGCGGCCGCGCCGAGTGAAAACGATTCGCCGGCATTAAATCAACCGAACGGGCCGCATTTTCCCTCTTAACGGTCGAGCCAGCCCGCGAATAATAATTCTACGCGACTCTTTGTCCACACGGTTGCGCGCAACGATGTTCAAAACTCGCCCACTTCCGCGACCTTTTTTTACTTTTCAGCCATCCTCGCAGCTCCAATTCGTCCGACAGCCAATCACGGCCTTTTTACCGTTTGGATTCGCGGAGCCAGTTACCGTGGGACAGCCAATTACTGTGCCTTTTGTTTCGTTTCAAGCATAATTAACTTTATATTTGTCGTGTAAGATAAGATTTTGTATTTAAATTCAGTTAATTATTTATTTGTTAGAATTAAACGTGTAAAAGACGAAAGTCTTTAAAATATACCTTAAAAATTATTTCCACTTGCTGGTATCGAATTCGCGAAATTTTCTGTATAGTTTATGAAAAAGCTTAGGAAAATAGTGAACGAATGAAGATCGATATTCGGTAAAATATATCGTTCCGGATAAGATATCGCGATGTTAATTCTATTGGCAAAACGTATTGAGATTATGGAAAAAAACGAAACCGTCATTGCTTCCTTAATTCTTCGCTATTAGTTTCAATATCAGTGGTTCAGTTTCTGTGCGCACTAACTACATTTATTTTTCGTTCGATGCGTTAGTTACTGTGTGCACAGTAAGTGAATCTATTTTTCACTCGATGCGCTAGTTACTGTGCCGCCTATCACGGGATAGGTCTACATAACCTCAAATCTCAAATCATATCTGTCATATTTTTAAAGAGGAGAAATGTAAATACGAAATTTTGTTCAAGCAATCGTCTGTAATGTGAACTTTTAAAAGACTTATTATTATGTTACATTTTTTTTATAGAATGTAAAATTAATGACAGCATGTTAAGTATTAAATTTTTATTGTGCACAGTTATCGAGGCTCGGTATTCGAATAGACAGCACAGTAACTGAAGCACAGCATTCAGGTAGACAGCACAGTAACTGAGGTACAGTATTCGGGGTAACGGTATTCAGAGCACGGTAACTGAGACACAATAACTGATTTTTGTAGATCATAGACACGCGGTAACTGGTTCCAGAACTTTTCTCTTTTTTCTACTATTCAAAGATTTGATATTTGTGTCGTGAGAAAATTATTATTCAGTCGTTAACCCTGGACCGGACGCGTCAGATAAATTTACATAAAGGTCGCGCGGGTTGCGCGACACCCCAACAGAACTGTAAATATAATTCCGAGAACAAAATCAAGCTACTCTGACTCTTCATTAAAAGCTAACGCAGCTGTAGACAGCTGGGTGACACCATTTAACATTTCGCCAAAAATAAAGGAACGTTAATTATGAAACAAGTGATTGGAGCGTCGAACACTCCATCGCGACCGTTCCAGGATTAAGAAATGTCCGTTAAATTGCTAAAATTGTGTTTAACCCTTAGCACTCCGAACCATTCTGGACGTTGGCTACCAGCTACTCGGCGCCACTTTTCAGGAGACCCTCGTATTATTTAGTATGGTTTTGGAACTAATTAACATATTATAATGATATTGGACTTATATGAATTGGCTGAAACCGAGAAATTTGCAAAAAGATCAATATTTTATTTTTTATAATTTTGTTATCGTTTGTTTTATAATTTTGTTTTGTTGTTGTAATCGCTATCTATGCGAACTCTTTCTCTCGTCGCCTTGTTGCTTGGACGATATCACTATCGCTGCTATCAAAACGATGGACTAACTGTAGAAGAAAACCTTCTACACATCTGTAGTAACATTTCTGTGTGTAACATTTCTAACATATCTGTATAAACGTCTATCCGGAGCTCATCTTCGCTACTACTTGTGTCATGAGACTCGTTCGTGTTTGAACGTTTTGCCATTGTTCTAATAAAAAATATGAATAAATACAT